GGCATGGTGCGTTGTTGCCAGCGCCCTTTCGAATCTCCGCAGCCGTTGCTCCCTGAGTACGAAAACGACGGTGTCGAAAACAGGAAGACAAACGTGGTTCGGGGAGCGGCCGCTGCACGACCCAAGCGCTCGCACACTACCTCTGCCCTTTCTGCTCTGCGCTACCATATTTGTCACCGTTCCGCGCGCCCCTCCTCTCGTTTTTCCTGCTGCCGCGTGCCCTATGGCTCCGTCGTCGATGTGTTAGGCTTTCTCCGTATAGAAGAGGCTATGGTCATTCATTAGCCTGCGCTACGTCGTACGTCTTTCAATAACTGCGGATTACGGGTGAAGTGGGGGTTAAAAATGTCTATGACATGAAGCGAAAGTAAGTGCTGTACGTAACCATATCCCACCCATGTGGTGTTTGAAAAGGTGCTTTTTCCAGGCTTCCTTTCGCATTCAACGTTTCATTGCTACATGAAAAAATAGCTAACACTCCGCAGTGTCGAGGCAGGGTCATATGTCATCTTGACGATACGAGAACGCGGTAAAAAGTCGGAGTGCGCTTAAAGGGATTGTCCGGTCAAATTTTGTATTCGAGAAAACAATTGAATATCATTGTGATTGCCTCGAGAGGCATCGTACGTGCAATATCTGAATTTTATATGCCCCTCTGCATGAGTAATTGAATTTATACTGCTCCAATCGCATCCTAGTGTAAAAGCTGCTTTCACTGGCATCATTAAAGCTCTGACGTCACAAAACGCAAAGCGAGCATTCCGTCTCGTCGTTTGCCTGCGAGTGAACGCTGCAGCGTGCTTCGTTTTTGTTGTTGGGCTCGACTTGTTTCGTGGATGGGTGAGAGTTTTGTTACGTGGTTGGGTGCCACAACCACCGGGCAGCACATGCGAGCCAAAACGGGACGTTCCACACTTTTCCGCGACATGTGCAAAGACGAGAAAAATGGATCATCGCCGTGCGTAGGGACTGAGTTCCCGTCAAGACCGAGATCCCGCTTATGCAGCAATCACCTCACAGAAGAGAACTACGAGCTGAGCTCTAAGCGGACAGAAAGCTTGTAAGCGGAGGTGTGATGCTGTGCCAACGATATTCAACTACGTCCACACACTCCTCGCCCGAATCGGATCAATCGGTTGGATTATGCAGCGAAACCGAAACCAACAGCTAGGCCATCTGGAAACGATGCCAAAAGTTGTATTTAGCGCGCGTGCAGCCAGATTCTGTTTGACCCCCGTGTGAAAATGGAGCGTGGCTGCGATTCGCCAAGCTCGTCCAAGTGATGACATGCATTCGAATGATTCGCCGTTCGCCTTCGACCCACGGACATCGCCTCCGAGGGAACGACCCGCAGCCTCATCACCGATCCAGAGCCGTATATGTAAAGAGTTTGGTCAATGGGAGGTGCGGGCAGAGCCAGGGCGTGTGGCAGACTCGGAAAAAGGGCTTGGCATGCTCTCTTGACCAACCAGAAGCTGAAAAGAATCCCCTAGCAGTGGTGGCGACAAACAGTTCTGATCAAAGGTCTATATTCGTTAATGGTATTAATAAGTGCGTAAGAGTGAAATGTAGTAAGTCTTTGTGGTTGAAAATAGGGTGCAAGCAGAAAGATGTAAGAAACGAATGCGCCGCGCAACTCTGTTTAGCGTGGACAGAGTGTGACCGTTCGGACGGCAGATTCCCGGCCATCGGCGCTTGGCGTACGGATTATGTCGACTTACACCATCATTTTGGACGAACGTGATTGAAACATCACGTGTACCATATTTTCAGCCATTGAGAGTTACTCCAATGCAGTTATCAGGTTTTTTTCTGGCGACCACCGCCAGGGTATTATTTCGAGCTTCTGGTTGGTCACATTCAAATTTCTGAAGACGCCCTGGAACACACCCAGCCCGCTTTCGGCCAATGACGCCTCCTCATTTGTCTCCTATACTTCCCAACAAATGGCCAAACTCTCTACATATACAGCTCTGCACTGATCCAGCGGATCCGCCGGTTCGATATGTGTACCCAGATGCCGCTTCATGTACCTACGCATGCCGCTTCAAAGGCAAAATCTGATTCCTTTGCTTCGCAAGCACTCCTAGTTCGATCGGTGGCCGTCGCAGTTGTGTTTGCTCGAAACGCCATAATTTTGTTCAAAGATTATGGCTGTTTTCGAGTAATATTCAGCTAAAATGCGTGAATTTTTTCGCACACGCTTGGGAACTGCATTAAAAGAACCGTATTTCAGTAGGGTACAGCCTAGGAGGCTATAATTTGAAACAAAATACAAGACATTCATCGACGAACGCTTGCTAGCCCGACCATCTGACAAACTTTTGTTTTTTTATGACGTAACGCAGCAGTCACGGATGTCAGCCATTGACAATGGCGAAATTCGGGGTGCAATTTCGTACATCCGCTCATGAAAGATTTCGTTAATAAGGGGAGATCATATATCAATATAAAAATTACGATTGTGTACATGAAGGCTCCCTGGACGTAACCAGCGCAAAAACTTAAGTACTTCCGGTTTGAACCGGACAATCCCTTTAAGCTTTGCCTTTATGTGTGGAGCGTAATAGCGTTATTGAATCCTCTGCACGCCTAGCTTTCGTCTCCACCTTCACGTCTTCAGTCTTACGTGGCCGACCCCGTCGCCGAGAAGGAGCAGACGTAGATGCTTCATCCGCACTCGTAGAACACGGCGACTCGGAAGAGCGCCCCGCACTGGTAGACGGCACCGCATCCATCGCACACGTGTACTCTCCCGGCGGCATGGCGGCGGCCCCGCGACGGGGTACTCATTGTCCACAGACGGACGATGACGGCAGGGTCGCAGTGTTACTGGGCGGACTCGGCGACAAACGTAAACTTTCCGCTCCTCCGCGATGGACAGAAACTGTACACTCCTCCAGACAGATGAGCCTAAGAAATAATGTTAAGACGTCATTACCCTGTGGACCAATCAGGAATTTCACGTCAAGCCAGCTTTTCTGGCACGGCACCGAGGCGGGCGCGACACGAGCTCCTCAACGTTATTGCGTTAAAACAGCGAGTAGACGCGAGACAACTCCGGCAACTATAGCGACAATTCCGGCAACTCGGGGAACCCGGCACAGATGTGACCTAGCAAACGTCATTCCTTCCATGTGTTCTAATCGTCTGCAGAGGCGCGGAACTCTTTTTCGCGCACGAAAGTTGGTCTCGAATTAATTGCTCACGCGGCCAAATATTCCGCCGCTGGCAAGCAGATTTTGCAACCCGCGATGATATTTCGCGCGGAACAACCCGCAGAACCGCAAGTGTGAACGCAGCATTACGGCCGATATGCCGATCAATAAAGTGCCTCTAGAATATTGCTCTCCGCAAATACACCACACACTAAACACAGGACAACTTTATGCAGCGCGAAGTACAACGTCTGGATACAGGCAAAACTCCTTTGGTAAGGTGTGTCGGTGCCTCCATTCCCCGACATGCTAGACCGGAGCGAAATACATTTAATGTGACCGAGTTAAAAATGTAAAGCTTGGTTTAGCAAGCAGGAGAGGTAACTGGTATCTTACTATTTGCGATATTTAGTTCCGACGTTTTCGGGTCGTCCAGCGGTCTTTTCAATAGCAGATTGTAAAAATGTTCCTCTGGATAAATCCCCCGAGCGTTAAAAAGTGCACCGATTTAGAAAAAAAAAAAAGAAAAGTAATCCCAGTAGGGACTACTATGAAAAGGGGATAATAAGCGGGGCATTGAAGCAGAAGTAGAGTTGATAAAACGACCTGTTTGCCGACGAAAGAATTCTTGCCGGTTATATCTAGGATTCCATGCTTTCAGAGTTTAGTTTTCGGAAAATTCGGAGATTGTTTTTTGCAGTACCTTATTGTCCAAAAAGCGGAGTTTGTTTATTTTGTATTTTTATTTAACATACCTCAAGTCGCCTTGTTAGGGCAATATATGAGGGGGATACAAATCTTGATGACACAAAATACAACATGCAATTACTCAGCTATTACACACACCTAAAAGAAAGAAAGAATCATATAAATCTGAAGAAACAAAATTTAAACAATAGCAATGTTGATATTATATATTTATGATAGATTTCCCGTTCTCCGAAATTCGGAGTTTAATTTTACTGTGTGTCAGATTTTTTTCAATACTCCTTATGAAAACTAGTATTATCCGGACAAAACCCTGCCCCAAATTCGTAAGAACCTACCTGTAAATGATATTTCTTCACCTGGTTTGGGCATTTGCGCCCGTGCAATTGGTAAAACCATTTGTCCCGCAACAAAACTTGTTAAAAAGTGATGATTTATGAATCTTCAATATTACAAGAAAAAAAGATAACAAATCCTTTGATGTAGTCTCTGGAAATCTTTTCCCCCCATCTTGTACAAATCTTGCACTGACGTCACTTGGTCAGACATAATAGGGGAAAGGGTACGTGAGAGCATAGCTTTCGCTAAGTTAACGAGCGCTTCGTGCCACCAGAAAGAGGGTTGGACTGACGTCACGTGCAAGACGCGTATCGCACCGCTCCACTTCTGTGGCTGCGTGGTGTGGAGCGGTGACATGGGGCCTTTGGCTAGCCCATATCCCCCTCTCCCCACCATGATCACATATTTCACTACTATAAAAAACAGAACCTCGCCTTTCTCTAGATTTCCAAACTGAAAACTGGAACAGTGGCTTTTGCTGTGAGCCGAAATCCCCCGTTGTCCTAAAAAAAAACTTATCGCGTGCAACGGTAAACCCCTTTTGTCGCTAGTCCGAGATTTGAAAGGAAACTGGAGATGGCCTCTCCTCAGGACCACACAGTCTGTGCTCTGTCCAAGCTTACTTGTAGTGTTTTTTCATCGTGTTATTTTTTTTTGCCATTGTGACTTTATAATTTTGAGTTTTTCAGATAAATACGAGTTAGCAAAACTTTTTCAAGCGAGTGTATATTTTGTTCTCATTTTATTTAATTCATTCCAAAGAACGGCACCTTACTTAATATATATCCTATGCAGGGTACGACTGGGAAACCCAAGGCAGCCCTGTTGTCTCATTTTAACATAGTGAACAACGCCAACTTGGGCGGCCGTTGGCTTGGACTCCATGAGCAAGTACGATGCATTTCTCATTATCGTAGTGTCATGCTCGTAATGCGAGCATCTGTCAAAAGTTCAACCCGTCTAGTATACAACATGTCCTCCGACTCCAGGACGATTCGATCTGCCTCAACGTACCCCTGGTCCACTGCTACGGCTGTGTGGGAGGTTCGCTGGCAGCAGCCCTGTTTGGGGCCACCCTTGTGATGCCGGCCCCAAGCTTCAAAGCGAAGGCCGCTCTCGAGGCAATCGCAGAGCAACGGTAATGCGCTTTGATTATGACCAAAGTGACACTCCATCTTTTTTGACATCGCGTTGGCTTTTTTGCGCTACAGTTCGGCTTGATATCTCTGTGGTGTGAGCTGCCGGCACACGCAGATGCAAAGAATGTCTGTCTGTCTTTCACACGACTTCTATACTAAGACTTCCAAATCGCAGCAATAACTCTCCAGGTAGAGTATTAAAAACCCTGCCAACTTCGTTTGAGACTATAGTGGAGACGGGAGCCAAAATGTTTTCGCTGCAATGTAAAAACGCTTTCTGCACTAAAAAAAAAAAAAAAAACTCTGGCAGTTGGTGTTACAATTTTTTTTCTCCATAATTCCTTTCTTATTAAAGCTAACTTTGATATAGCCTTGAAAGGAGTGAGTGAAGCGTGCCGTCGAAGGGAGGTGGCCGGCTGCAAAATACCTGCGCCGTGAACCCATTGGCCACCCCCCATGATGGAGACGTAAAACAATGCAAAGAAGAAGCAAAAAACTAAGATGATTTGGGAAGACGCTTTGAGAAAACTTCGTCATTTGTGAAAACTTCAAAAAACACAGCAAGAAAGAATAAACGGTACAAAATGTGGACGTGAAAACGCTGACACCGCGTCGTGTGCCTCTAAAGTCTCTGTTATACTCCGACGTTGAGCGCAGCGAACGCAGCGTAGCGCAGAACGTGCGCCTTTCATTGGCCGCCGAGCAGGTACCCAATATCTACGACTACTCAACATCTGTTTGCTCTGCGCTACGCCGCGTTTGCTATGTTCGACGGCGTAGTATAACAGGTGCTTAAGACGGAGGTTCGACTTAGCGCCGCTGCGTTCCTAATAAAAGTTAGTCCTGCATATGACCGGTCTGATCGTTAAACCGAAATACAACGCGAACTTTTCGTCAGTAAACCATGCACCGTTCCCGAAATCTGACGTCGTGTGACTTTAAACGTTTCTTTAAGGGCGCCACCATCATGAGGATCGCGGCGCCGACAATGCCATCTAGCGGCTTAATAAAGAATTATCATTATTATTATTATTATATTTTATTATATTATTATATTATATTATATTATATGAAGAATTTTCCGACCTCCTCCATTCTGCTTTTGACAATAATCTATACAGTTGCGGTCTAGTTTTAGATATTTCTAAAGCTTTTGACTCCGTCGACCACAGTATATTGCTTCAGAAATTACACAAGCTGGGATTTCGTGGCAACTTTCACACACTTCTTACAAATTATCTCTCTAATCGTTCCCAGGTTGTTGCTCTGGGAGGTCTAAACATGAGCACACAAGTGTCTCTGACGTGTGGCGTTCCACAAGGATCCATAATCTCCCCCTTATTGTTTAATATTTATGTGAATGATCTTGCAGAAAACATCTTAAATTGTCATATATTTCAATATGCGGATGATACAGTTTTAGTCGCGTGTCACACCAACTACACATCAGCCGTACAAATACTACAACAAGCTGTTTTCACTGCTATGAACTGGTTTCGTGACAACCGCATCAAAGTCAACGCCTCAAAAACTAGTTTAGTATGCTTTAGAAATCCCTTAAAACAAACTGTGACAAACATTCCTCTCTTCATTCATACCTCCGATTGTGCTTCTTGTTACTGTACGGCAGTTTCTTATGTCAATTCAGTTAAATACCTGGGAGTTTATTTTGACAGCGACCTTGCTTGGAACACCCACCTGTCCTATATTTGTAGCAAACTCAGAAGTACTGCCTGGCTTTTGTACACCGTTAGACATCTTGCTCCAATCGGTGTGCGCAGAGCTATTGCCAGCAGTCTTGCTTACGGCGTTTTAAGATACAGTGGAATCACCATTCTTTCCAATTGCTCCATAAGATGGCAAATACGCATCGATAATATTTTGCGGAACTTACTGAAGAGCGTGGCGTATGACTGTGATTTGACAGAATGCGGAAGTATCTTTGAGTATCTTGGTTTACCTTCCTTCCAAAAGTTGTTTGTGAATTCAGTAATTTTGCGCCACTTTTGGATGGATGATTGGATGGATGGATGGATGGATGGATGAAGAGATAGTCCTCGCTATGTTGTACCTCGTTATTATACTCGCTACGGACAAGCTACTCGTGATATTTATGTCCCGAAAATATTTAATTCGCTTCCTGATGACATATTTACGCTTACCTCAAAAAAGCAACTAAAAAAATTCCTAATTGATTAGACTCTACCTTAAGTACTCGTTAATGTTTCCTTACCTTTTTCTCTCTTTTTTTGACAACTTTGTCGGAACCTTTTTATTTTGCCTGTATATATTTTTATATTGTTTCTACCGGTTCACTGTGATTGACTATCTCTGTCAGTGGCATGTATATATCTATATGTGTGCTTTGTGTGTGTCTCTACATGTACCTGTACATATGTCTATAATGTTTCTACCGGTCTACTGGGATTTACTGATTTACTATCTCTATCCGTGCCATGTACAAAGTGACTGACTACCCACCGCCTCCCCTCCCCCACCCCGGACAACTATGACTGTTTATCGGTGTTTGTTAACTAGAGGTATATAATCGCTTACTACCTCTTCCGGGCCATGTCCCACAAGCCTACTTTGGCTTTGACGGGCCCGAAAATATCGAAAACAAACATGAAAGTGGAATAAATATTATTATTATTATTATAACTCGCTGTTTAATCGGTCGGACATCCAGCTCCGATTTCTCTTCGACGACTGGTCATTTCGGAGGCGCTGAAGGGGTCAGCGGAGAGTAGATATCATCATTAGCAGTGCCTCCGCGTCGCTCAAAATTGTTTCTTACTCACACATTCACTAAATATGTGCGGGTGGTCACCATTTCTAAATCATAGGACCTAAATCTTGTTTAACCAAGGCTTCTTTAAAAATTAGCGACTCGAGTGATCCTTCATCAAAAGCTTTTGTCAGCTATAGTTGAATGGTTAACTAAGTATTTAATAAGAACGAAACTGTAGTGGAAGAAACAAAACCTCCGAGGTCCGAACAGCTCGAGTTACCACTTCTGGAAGAGGGCGCTAGGTTCGTGGGGAGAAACGAGGGCATTTGGTCCCCTATTACGCACCCCTTTCTCTTTTTTTAAGTGTGTGGGTAGCCAACGGTGTGGCTGTTGAGAAACTTGGCTAGACTTGGCTATAGTGGGTATGGTTGGAAATCGACAGGTTGAATATAGCTGAGTAGTGACAGGCCATCACCTGGACTCCTCGAAAGAACGAGGACAAAGAGGGCTGAGTGCTTTGGTTTAGTTTCCATAACAAAAGAATATATGAGCAGTTTAATGTCGTCTATGCGGATAAACTTTTGGCATTTGATCGCTACATCTTTAGGGGTGGCACGTAGACGTTTTTCTACCCTTCACAGCCAGTGGAGCAAAAGCAAATGTTTCAGTGATAACCATAATCTGTGCTCCGGCACCGGGTTGGAATCGATCCGCTTGGCTTAGGCGACGTTGTCGTAAACACATACGCAACGATGAGTCTGAGACCAAGCCCCTTGCTATTTACGCTCGCAATCGAGTGGCTTTATAAATAAGAATCCTCGCGAAAACATGTGAAGCTCAGTAACATCGTAGCCACACTCGCGCTACAGCATCTTGTGCTCATCGCACACATCCTGCGATTGTCCTTATGATTATTAAAATTATTTATGCACCCGACGACGCCGCAGTGATAGCTAAAAAACGTAGATTTCCAGAAATTGTAACACGATAAAAATAAACGCTCGGAACAACCTCACGCACGACGTCTGTCTCTAAGGCTTTTCTCCCATACCCTTGGCGGTTGCATACCTTGTGTCAGCGGGCAGTACAAAAAAACGCCAGGTCGAGGGTGCATCAGTTGCGCGCTGGTATAAGGTTGTGCGAAAAAGGTCTATGGAGTCCAGACTCGTGGTGTTTCTTGAAGACAGTATGCCCTTTTTATCTGATGTGTGACTGCAACCCTTCCCCATTTTCTTGAATATGTAATCTTTGTTGCAGGTGCACGTTTATCTATGGAACGCCCACAATGTACATAGACATGATTAAGGAGCAACAAGAGGGGAAGTACGACGTTTCGTCTGTTCGGAAAGGTACGACAGTTCCATTTCTAAATTTATAAGTAATGAAGAGCTCTATATTCCGACTTCACCAAGTACCGCTATCGTTTGATCGTGCAGCGGGCGCGCATCATAAAGGGCAACTCCCATTCATTTTGTTTTCTTCTCAATTTCGTGGTTTATGCAGCATTTTTGAATTCCGACCTATAAATTTGGTAGTATATACAGTTTTGTTATACATCTTCCTGATAGTTATAATTTATTTACCGCATTTAAATAGTTTGGTGGGTCACGGAGTATTAGAGAAAGGTAAGTACTGGCCAACGTTATTAAATCAACTCAATAACGACTGCTCAAGGCGCCGCTTCTTCGTTCAGTACACTACCCCCCCCCCCCCCCCCCCTCCTCAACTTCCGTCTTCCGTCGTTGCACCGTTTTTCGCGGGAACGGCCGCTATGGTAACTACAGTTGCGCAGGTTTTATCACAGCGCCTATATGGCCCTTCACCGTAGCATCTTCCAGGCGTCTCCTAAGAATACAGATCTTAAAATTCAGCCTCTAAAGGTGACGCTTCTTCGAAAAACGGGTGACGGGCTCGAGGGGGAGAGGTGGGAGGGGAGTACCTTTTTCCACGAGAGTGCCACATATGGTATAACTACATAGGGTTACGAACTGAAGGGACATGTATCTAAACATACGGACTTCTCGCAATCTTTTGGTTCGGTATAAGACGTAGGGATGCCCCGTCATTTTTACTGGAAAATGTAAAACCATTTACAGTTACTAATTTGTTTTTCTTCTTTTGTTACACATCGCAGTTGCTGCGCGCGCTTTTCGATCCAGATGGGCAGGCATATTCCTGATTTTCTAGATGGTATCGTTAACTTTGTTATCACGCTGCTGTCAAAACCCTAACGAAGTCGTGTTACTACACCTAAAGCTAGAGAATTGAAACTACGGTGCAATTGGAGCGCGTCTACGACTGGATGTTTAGCGTCCTATTCCGCCCCATGCATCGAAAATGGTTCCTAAAAGTGACAACAAACGACGACACAAAAGCCGGAGTGTCACGTTGTCAGACGTCGCGATCCTGGCGGTGGGCCGTAGAAATACCGGCGAAAAACCCGAGCGAACGCCAGTATCGCTGTCGTCGCGACGTCCAATACTCCTGGCTGCCGAAGCTTTCGTTTAGCTGTCACGCTGGAAAAGTGACCTGCCGCAGAACGGGCGTCTGTCATATTCCCCACCGTTGCTGTGACGCCGCCAGTATCGCGGCCGGCGCCAGCGTGACACGTCAATGACGTCATCGGGCGGAAATCGAAGGACCACTCCTTTGGACGGGGTAAACACAGAGGTCGCGAGATGCGTTCCAGGCACCATAATGAAACTGAATTGTCTTCTACGCAAACGTATTGCTTGAGAAGCGGTGTCAGTTATTGAAAAGAAGAGGCCATCGTGGCGTCGCTTGTCAGATGGAAGCCCGGCACAACTCCCGAACGGAAATATTGGAGTCAACCGCGCTGCCGTTTGTGTATTACTTTTTGTACCTTTCTCGTGCTAGCCCTACAAACAAAAGGACGCCGGTTTGCTTTCTTCATGACGAGTGCGCGCTGAGCTAGTACTGCAAGTGTGCAGCCAAAGTTTTGTAGCTTATAAATAATACCCGTACCTGCAATATTATTTTTTTAGTTACGTAGTAATTTTTTTTGTGTTGTTTATTTATGTACGTACGAAAGCTAGAACTTGCGAGCGCTTAACAAGTTTTTATTAGAAAGATATTTATAGGTACTGGGAACTTGTTGGAGATTGGTTCAGGAGCGGAACTAATCCAAACGCAGAACAATTGGGCAACAAAATAATAAAAATACTCAAGCATAGTATGCAGTCATATATTAATTATACGAAGGTAAATGCAGAATTCGACTGTGCGTAAAAAAAGAGTGTTAAAAAAAAACAATAAAATAGACTGATTTTCAGAATATATATAATGCATTGAATACCACGCCTGCGATCCACGATTAACATTTTATATAAAGGTGTGTCTGCATGAGAGTATGACCATACGACACACTACCAAAAGGATGGATACTGAGGCCCTAATACTCACGAAAATTTAAAGCAAGAAGACTTTTTTTTTTTTCTTTTTCATATTGCACTTTTTGGAAATAAATTGCACAGCCTTGGCTTTGCTAGAATTAATATCGTCGCTTATAGAAATAGCTCATATTCAAATCCATGTTTAAAAAAAAATGAAAGGCACAGCTATTCATCGATATTTAACGGGCGGTGGATTGAAATTCATACGTGAACTTTATTTCAAGTTACCTCGACGTGCATTGCCATAGCGAAAAGTCAAAACTGATTTCCAATTCTCGAACATACCTAGAACGTTCTTGCAAAGTTGAAGGTGTGGCTGAACTATTACACATGAACGAAAAAAATCAGGAAGAGATAAGGGTGCGTCGCCAATGTAGTATTTTTTTTTTTTTTTCATAATCCAAGATTTTGTTTTTACGATTAGGGAATTAACTAGGGTCTGGGTTGGCAAATGAAGGATAGGGTTTTTTGGGAGTGGCTGTAGGGATTTGGTTCTCGAACACAATTAGTAACGCTGGTGCCCCAACGGAGTTGGATCTAATAACGTTGGCACTGGCTTAGGGTTATGACATCAAACTACTTAGCCTACAGCGCTCATTTTCCTTTATTTTCTCGTTCTAAGGCGCGTAAAAGACCGTCTCTCAGTAAAAGCTCTTATCATTGACGGTGTTGCGAGATAATTTTTGTTAGGGGCTATTATTTATACTCTGCCTGTGAGCGCGTGCCGTCAGCGTCTGAGCAAGCTCATACGCGAGCCCGTTCAATATCTTCTGCCGTAGTGCGCGACACCACGTAGGTGCCGTCTCCGTGATCAGCATCGAGTCATCCGCCGTCTTCGCCGTGCACGGAAGGACGCCTGACGCCGATGCGTCCTTTGCGACTTTTGAGCCGGGAGCGACAATTAATGAGTCCTCACCCTCTTTGTGGTTTTATTGTCGATGACGTGTAAGTAAACTGGTTTGTGTTTGTAACCGAACCTAAAGCGCTCAGGGTAGACCCTCTTGGCCGCCGAGAACGTCGCCCTACAGCTGCCAGCATTTTCTATGATCCCCTGGTTCATCAAACTTGAATAACCCTTTTGACGAACTTACGCAAATCGGGCGAGATCTGCTGGAAGAGATTGGCCTTTAATGACAAATCATCCAAAAAAAACTCAACCACCTACATGCTAAGCGCATGCAAAAGGTCTAAAGAAAAAAAGGATTTACAGTTACCGCGACTGGAGCAGTTTTGACCACGCAGCACTATTGAATCCCCATGTCACAATACAAAAATATGTAAATCCGTATTCATGGTTTGCAATGATGTCTCACCATTGGCTATTGTAGTGAACTTCCTGCTGAGCGCGCTCCTCCTGCAGCATACGCTTCGCACCCTCACATTCGTTAACATTGACAAGAGCGAGTAAAAATGAACACCGGCATAACGCAATCATGTCACATATAGTAATGGCAATGGGTAAATGTTTACACCAACAGGTATCATGGGTGGAGATTCATGTCCCCTAGAAGTGGTGACTAACGCAATGACAACGTTGAACATGCAACAGTTCCAGGTAAGTTTGCGCGTATATCTACTCAGGACACCGCCAGTAAACGTTTTTTCTTCAAGTCGCTACGACGCTAAACACGGCTGAGGACAACATTTCAGACTCTCTATGGTACCACGGAGATGGGCCCGGCTATAACCTGTACAGACAGTGCTGAATCGACGGAGCAGTGGATCGAAACAGTGGGAAAGCCACTCGATCACACAGAGGTCAGTGGACGTGGTCTTCATGGTGGACATTGGGGACTTTTTAACAAACCGTTACCGCGTTCCTCGTGCCGCACCACCGGAGTCTTTAAAGCGTGATTTTAAGCGCGCGCCCCGCGGTCATGGTATCGCCCAGACGCTCGCTTAAAAGCATGCCTCCAAGGCACCGGTACTAGAGTACGAGAAAAACGGTGACGGTTTCCTAAAAGTCCCTATGATTTTAGTTAGAGTTACAGTTACTTAAAAATAAAAGTAACGTGTTGCAGTTACAATTACTTCGACTAAATAACTTGCTTTCAAGATACTATTTTTTTAATTCATCTATGAAACATTCCTGTCAATACACAATGACTACGATATATATATCTTTCTAAGTGTTCTTTCCATGCTTAGCGGTAGTGCCCAGAAATGAGTCGAAACTCACCCCGAGGTTCATGTGAAGGTTGGAGGAAGAGTACCTCCCGGCTGCGTATACATTTTTGCAGTGTTTGCAGCGAGCAGTGATGTGATCACCACTATATTCGACAAGATCAAATGCAGTTCATGGACGGGCCACGCTAACACTCTCCGTTCGTCACTCATGACAGCGTCTCGTTTGAGCGATGACGGTTGATTACCATCCAACTATTTTTCGTCTTTCTTGCGACGTTCTCCCTCCGACCGCTTGTGCCAAAATACCGTTAGTATCAAACAAGGTAAAGATAGTAGTGAACAAAAACGGCATTAAGTGGTCTCAGAATGCGTTCAGCTTTTATTTTTAATATATTATATGTAACGCACAACGAAAGACTCAACCGTAGATTACGGTCTCACGACCACTGTGAAAGGGAAAGTCGACCAGTAGAAACATCGTCTGTCGTCCCGGTCAGACAGTGTCTACTGGCGGCGACTCGCTTTTCACTAAGAAAGCTATCGCTGCGACAGCTGGGGGACCGACGACAGAGGCTCTCGTTCGACGTTAAAGAGTTCACCGTGAGGTTTCTACGCGTCGCATGTTTCCGCGAGGCGGCTCTGTCGCTTGGCTGAAGAGGCTGGGCTGTTCGATGAGGCCGGGCAGGGTGAAGACGGGGCCATGAGTCACGTACTAAAATGTTGAAATGAAGAAAATGCCAAATGCGCTTTTCCGCACAATGAGAAAGGAGAAACAGTAATAGGAAAACGTCTGCCCTCTGCAACGACACTTTGCTCCGGCGAAAAAGGTTTCGAGTTCCTGTTTTATTTTGACGCGTCCAATGTGAGGCCCAACATCCCCACATGGTGGAACCCGCTCTAGTGTTGGTAAAATAGGATCATGTTGTTTTTTTTTTGCGAAATGTATCTGCATCTTTTGCAGAAACGTTTTAGTTACTTTAAAAAAAATAAATTATTTAAGTTATCGTTACCGTTTCTTCAAATAAAATGTAGCGAGTTACAGACAGAAAGTTACAAAAATAATATTAACAAAGAGCTAGAGTATTGCTCTACAAGTATTGCGATACTACCCCAGGCTATATAATCAGTCAATCCAGTGCGGCCTCGGTTTCAATGCGACCTATCGCCTAGCCTCTCTAAATGTGCACCCCGCCGCCGGCGCTTGTAAGGGGTGTCTCCTAACCGGTTTCCACAATCAGTGGAGCTGTGGCGCCATCACATGACGACGTTGCGAACTTTGAATAAGTGTGCTCCCAGCAAGACCAAGGGGCACTAATGCTAACGTATTAAAAAATGAGATGTATTCTCTTCATGTTTGTAAAGGCTCCATTTTCTGGCGCTGTGTTCTCAGGTGAAGATTGTCGATTCGCAAGGCAGAATCGTCCCCTTCAACCAGAGCGGGGAACTTTGCGCTCGAGGCTACGGTGTCTTCAAGGGCTACCTCAAGCAGGACGACAAGACAAGAGAGGTCGTGCGCGACAACTGGTATCACACCGGGTGAGGGCAGTAATAGCACTTACTGAGCTACATTCTGCTATGATCTGTGACAGATTAAGAGTTCAAAGGCGGCTCCTCCCATCTCTTTCCAAGTTAGCTGAGCGAACGCTGGAGAAGAGGTTGCCTTCATTCCGTAGTTCGTATTGCTAAAATAAAAAAAAAATAGATGGGAGGAATTTCCCCTGAAGGTTTAATCAGTCACCGACTAGAGTGTCCTCGATTTCTCGTTGTGAGCTACCGAACACAGTTTTACTGCTTGTAGACGTGCCGAATGTGGAGTGGGACCTCTTGCCGCCTGACCGCAAGATCTTTCGCTGGGAAAGCTGGTGGTAGAAGGAAAGAATATATTAGAGTCGTGATGTAGGCGAGTTGGTTCGTGGTAAACGGAAATGAGTAGCGCGCAAGAAAATACAGACAAGGACAAGAGGGAAGATGCGAACAATGTCAGTAAGTTGTATGATGCATGCAGGTACAGCGGCTGACAGATGCTGGCTTCCCAACGTCAGTTATTGTGGCAGTGGCGCAGACGTTGCTAAAAAAGATCAAGGGAGGGTTGGGTAAGAAAAAAGAGAGACCCACAACGAGACCCCACGTGCCCCCTTACATACACAAAGCCTTGCATAATTTGAAAAAAGAAGCCGGGCGGTTTGACGCTCCATTGTGTTTTCGGCACCTCGAAAGTTGGCGCAACTCTGCCTTAGAATTGCGGAAAAAGCTGGGGGAAAGAGCCAATGTGCCGTAAAGCACAGGAACAAGTATGTTGATTTTTCGGTTGGTGTGGTATAAAAGATCCCACTCAGCTGCGGAACAGTGTACATCGGCCAAACCGAACGATGTGTTAATGAAAGAGCCCGTGAACATGACTGGTCATTCCGGTCGACCGTTGGGGGTCACTAAAGTCACTGGATCTGGGGAAGTAGCGATAAAGCCTTCCCACCTGCTAGCCGGACACAAACAAATACCAACATACAGACAAAACCTCTCAAGGTAGTTGGCTCATCGCTGTCGGTTGCATGATGATCGCCATTTTGGACGCTTTTGAAAGCTTCGAAACTTCGAAAGTGCCAATAAGACCAGTCGCATCAAGATCGCTGTGGAGCATTATCGTACTGAAAGCGTTCCTAGGCCAGTATGAGCGTCTTTGGTACTGTCAATGCAATAAACTTATCACTCACGCTTATTTCCCCAGATCTCTTACAATTATGTTGCTCTTGCGTGTTCCTAGACAGTAAAAGTATTTTTCAATGCCTCCAAGCACTGACGTTGCGTGTGATGGCGGTACAAAGATGTACGGCATCACTTGCGGCGTCGGTGCTTGGGGGCATTGAAAAACATTTTTATTGTTTAGAACAGGGGTGGCCAAGCTGACTCAGCCAAAGAGCTGCACACAAAACCACGAAACTTCCAGGAGCCGCGGGGGGGGGGGGGGGGGGGGGGGGCAAACTTTTGTCTAGAACATTAAACGAAACTTGAACTACTTTAAATCTATCCGAGTCAAATAGGTCCATCTGTACGTAAGGTAGCACAAGGCTGCACCCGCAACCTGACTTTCGATTTAAAACGCGTTCCATTTCTCTTTTTGGAGAAGTGCTCGTGTGACCGGGAGTGTGGCGGGGGGGGGGGGGGGGGTAACAATGAAGACGATTCTTTCCCGCTGCGCGCTGGATACTACCGCAACATGCATGATTCCAATACTTTCGGAACCTAGATTTTATACCGAGTGAGCAACAACATAGGAAGTGTCCAAAAGGTAATAGATGTTTTGGACGGTAGGTATCACCATACACAAATTACAAATCAAAGAGACGAACTTTTAGATTTTCACAGTGTGGAAACAGCGAACAGTGGAAGTTTTTATTTCTAAGGCCAAGGACCAGGCGAAGAGCAGAAGGTGAAGAGGAATTTCAGCGGCAGGGTCTTTTGGTGTTACAACCGCTACAAAGCACCTAAGCAGTGTGGAAGGTGTTAGCTTTGCCGTGGCTCAAGTTTTGTAATGGCGCACTGTGCCTATTGTCAGGCGCCCGTCACTGCCACGAGGTGCGTGAGAAAGATGAAAGCAGGTAAGCACTGTGAGCTAGTCAAGCACCAACAAAAGGGTACCCTGAAGGGTACATTACCTGATTCAGATTTGACGCCAGGGATGCCTGATCGAAGATAAGCTTTGGGTGAAGCCTCAGCAGGGTGCACGAACGGTGCCTACCACATGCTGTTGAGCAGCACGAGGTAAAATTTGGGAAGCAATCTTTCTTCGAAATGAGCTGCAGTCAACTTTTGCAAGGTACCGGTTGTTGCTTGTGGTCTCGTGAAACGACAGCCCCGGCAGCTTCTTGCCCACAGCTTCCACGACAAATGCCAAAGACAGTACCAAGAGTGCAAAAACAGGGAAGGCAGTGGATGGAGTATCAATTGAAAATAACTTTTCATTCCTCGTCATACTCAGGACACACAAAGACCACGTGTGTAAGAGCCTCTTGAACCCCGCGGTTTTCGCACTACGGGCCACTGACATGTCGAGTGCTCGCACAGTAAGCTCGTAGGCGGTGCATCAAGGATGCTTCCTATCTTGGTAGATTTCTAGGTATCTGACACGGAGGTCGTCCGTCGGCAACCCCCGGAATATGTACCTCAGTCCAGCCTTCGTAATCGCTATACAGGCGTTTTTGCGCAAGAAGGCAAGCAACTGCCTCAGAAGCGGTAGCCTTACTTCGCATAGAAAGAAGTGTTTCGCTTATGTTCAGCTAGTGGTCGGCGTAAACGTGGCTAAGCGGGAGGAAGAATGTTTCCGGGCGGCCCGATAAAATCTTTGAGCAGACTGGCCAGGTGACCAAACTTTGAGTTTGAGCGACAACTGACGTTTGAAAGTAAAGTGTTGCCAGAAGAAACACTGTGAACACGTGCAAGACGGCGACTGACTCGCTCATCGCCACAACGAAGGACTGGTCAATCTTCTGCTGCGACTAACGATGCGACGTTGTTGGCGTAGCGTGGAAGTTCGACACATATTCTAAGTGTCCTACGGTGCAGTGTTTCCATTTCCCGTTGTTGTGCTGGTTTAATGTTAAGATGTCACGGAGTGTTGAGCATTCGCGAAGGAATGATGCCTCGGTAGAGCTGGAGGAGTGCGCGCTGTGGCGTTCCGCGGGTATGTTCCCGCAAGCACAGAGGAACACCGAGAAGGCTCCAGCACTTGATAATAATTTTCCTGACTTCCGGTTTCAACGACACTTGATCGTCCACCAGCAGTCCTTGATACCTGTATCTCTTAACTCGTTTGATTGGTGGGTCAGCGAGCTTCAGATGGAGCACCTTGTCGTGGCCGATGTAAGATTGATTGAACTGCGAAGGTTTATTCTAGAATAGCAATACAGGTAGGTGTGAGTCGTGTCGTTTCTGGTCGCGATCTGGTGGAGAGAGGGTCCGCACGCGGAAGCGGCGGGCAGAATCCAGGGTCACCCGGCGGCGACGGCGATGATGATGTCGGCGGTGGCGATGATGATGTTCTCCCGACACCTCCCCCCACTTTGGAAGAACAACACTCACACTTTCCCAAAGCGGTCAGCTGGACGACTCATACGCCCACTCCTTGCGACGGTAGGTGCCACGGTCGGTTGCAGGTGTCCTCTTGTTCGCCGTGTAGTGCGGGTCGTCGTCTGCACCACGTAGGAACGGGGCTGAGGACCTGGCCCTAGAATGTGGCCGTAAGAGGCTGCTCCAGTCAGAATTCTGACCGCAGTTTCAGGTGGAATGGTGTCCAGCTCACTTGTTCTGCAGCGCTCGTCATAGTGTTGCCGCATCTTCTCCCTGTATAAGGCATTTCTGGAGCGAAAGTCAGTGGTGTCCCAATGAGGTTGGAGATATACTGGTTTTACTGGCAAGTTTGTGCGCAGTCTTTGTCCCATGAATAGCTCCGCTGGCGCGTAACCTTCGATTCCCGGGGTCGAACGCTGGGCCAGCGGTGCCTTGTGAATGTCTGTCGATTTCCCAAGGAGTTGCTTAGCTGTTTGGACTGTCCTCTCGGCCTCCCCGTTGCTCTTAGGTAGTACGGGCTTGACGTTGATTGGGTCACTCCCCATTTCTTCAGAAACACTGCAAATTCGCGTGAGGCGAATTGCTGTCCGTTGTTTGTTCGGGGAATTTTCGGCGCTCCATATAGTGCAAACATTGGGTCGAGGACGGCGATGATGTCCCTGGTCGTCGTCCGCCTCAGGGGTTCCAGCTCGAAGAACCTTGAATAGTAATCGACAGTATTCAAGTTGTTACTGCCTTCGTGGACGAAAAGGTCCATGCCGACGACTTCCCATGGGTAATTTGGCAGTGGATTCGCCAAAAACGGAGGTTGACCTGGTTTCCGGTGTTCTAAACAAACAGGGCACTTCCGAACGAAGCTGTCGATGTGGAGCCCAATGCCTGGCCACCAGACTTATTCTCGTGCTCTCGAGCGGCATTTGGACACACCCTGGTGACCTGTGTGAAGAGTCTCCAGGATTTCGAAGTGTAGGGCTTCCGGTATGACGAGCTGATTGCCCTTGAACAACAGTCCGTCGAGTACGGCTAGTTTGCCGGCGACTTCGTAGAATTGGCGGACTCCTTGAGGAAGCGTCATTTTATTCGGCCATGTCCGGAGGGTGTCCTTGGTTGCCTTCTTCGTTACCGGGTCTGTTTGTAGCTCGTTTTTGATGCGATCGACCATTTCTTGGGAGGCTGAAGCTGTTACAGCGTGAGGAGCTCGTACTCTATGGGGCTGTGTTCCCTTGTACTAGAGGAACAGGCCGAATGCGCCTGGAACAGGCGCATTCGGAATAGCTGCATTCGTGGGTTCAGCTCGCCGAGTCGCTTTGTTGTCATCAGGAGAACCAGCGGTTTGTGGTCAGTCTCAATGTGAAACTGCAGTCCTAAGTTGTACATGGGGAAGTGATCACATGCCTATGTGATTGTGAGCGCTTCTTTCTCGATTTGAGCGTAGCGTCGCTCCGTCTCAGTGAGAGAGCGCGATGCATAGGCAATGGGCAGCCGCTTGCCGTAGGTCTCTTGTAGCATGACCGCACCAATTCCGTAAGATGATGCGTCCGGTGAGACTATGAAAGACTTCTTCGGCTTGTAGTGCGTCAGAACTGCCCCTTTGGCTAGAACTTTTTTCCCTGCTTCAAAGCTTCGCTGCTGGTCGGGTGCCGAGAGCCACGCAGCGTCGGCGCAGAGGAGATCCCGCATTGGCTTCGTTGTGTGTGCCAGGTGTTGCAAAAACTTGGCAAGGTGGTTTGCCATCCCCAAGAACGATCTCAGTTCTTTCACATCTGATGGTGGAGTGATCTGTGTGATCGCATCGACTTTTTCAGGATTAGGCTTCACCCCTTTGCCGGAAATGACGTGGCCTGGGAACTTGACCGCCTGCTGTAGGAAGGCGCACTTGTAGATGTTGAGTGTTATGCCGGCTTTGCTGAGTCGTTCGAAGACTTTAACTAGGTTCGCGTCGTGCTCAGCCCGTGTTTTTTCCCAGACGATTATATCGTCTTGCGAGCAAGCTTTGCCTTCCGCTCTCTCAAGGACTCTTAGCATTTCGCGCTGAAAAAACTCTAGTGCGGTCTAGATTCCGAAGGGAAGGCGCAAAACTTGAAGCGTCCGAAAGGCGTCAGAAATGTCGTCTATTTCTGCGATCCTTTGACAGGGGTGCTTGCCAATATCCAGCTCGAGCGTCGAGTTTGCTGAAGACTGTGCCACCGGAGAGCTTCGCCAGACATTCGTCTACGGTGGGCATGATTACCCGTTCTCGGACGAGGTATTTGTTGAGCTCGGTGTAGTCTACGCAAATGCGCAGTTCGCCATCTGCTTTTTCTGCGACTACCATCAGAGCGCACCACTTTGTGGCCTCGGTGACGCGCTCTATAACCTGGAGCTTTAGCACATTGGAAAGCTCATTCTTCACAGGTGGTAGCATCGCCAGTGGCACCCTTTTTGGGAACGTAAAAGCAAAGGGCTTCGGGTCTCGTCGAAGAGCCACCTTGTACTCGGCGTTCATCTGTCCAAGCCCTGAAGTCAGCTGAGGGTACTTGGCAAGTACTTCGGAGACGTCCTCTGTGCGGCTTGTCTCACCACTGACGTTGAGGAGCTGTGGGAGAACTCCGAGAGACCGGATGGCGGGCCTTCCGAAGAGAGCTTCTTGTAGACCTTCAACTACGAAAACATCCTCTTGAACCTGTTGACCACCCCATTCTATAGATGCTTGGAAGTGTCCAGCGGTCGAAAGCTTCTGATGACCAGGACCGAGAAGTTCCCTTTCTGGCTTTCGCAGAAGGCCCATCACTTCGCGATTGTAGTCGCGCGGCGCGATGGCAGTGACGGCGGCGCCCGTATCGACCTTGAATATGATCGAGATGCCGTTCACTGACGGGGTGATTCTCCAAGCGTCATGAGCTGAAGTGTCTTTAAGTTCGCCGGAGTACAGCTTTAAGTTCGCCGGAGTACAAGAGAGACCAGGTACTTCCACAGCAGCTCGCCTAGTTCGCCGCTGTGCGGCGAACTAGGCGAGCTGCTGTGGAAGTACCTGGTCTCTCTTGATGTTTCGAAGACAGGCAAACGGAAGCGTAGTGCCCTTGTTTTCCTCACGACCTGGATAATTGACCGGATGTCGGACAGGTCGTCTTGGTGCGAACCGAAGCACTGCCACACCATCTGCATGGCTGACGGACACCTTCGTTGCCTTTTTTCAGACGAGCCGTCGGCGCTGTTTTCATGCTCCAGTTTTTCTTTTCGCGTGCGGAGCTCAGTTCGTCGACGGCGGCGCCGTGTTGACCTTGCGTACCTCGCATTTCTTTGTACTGTTGCTTGACTGCCTCTGAGTTTCGCGCGGCAGCCACCGCGGTCTCGAGGGTAAGCGCGGAGTCGAGTTGCAGTTTCCCGCTGAGAGCCGTATCGAGGAGGCCTACCACGACTCCGTTCCGGATAAGCTCGTCTTTAAAGGCGCCATATTGGCGTCTTGAAGAGGTCGGTAACGAAACTTTCGACTGTCTCGTTACTTTCTTGCTTTCGGCGGTTGAACGTAGCACGTTCGTATATGATGTTTCGCCGTGGAATAAAATAATTTTCAAAAGCATTCTTCAGGCAGTCGTAGTCGAGCTTTTGTTCGTCACTCAGCTTTAGAGAGGCTAGAACGTCCTCCGCTTCGCGTCCCATGGCGTACAGGAGAGTATTTACCTGAGCAGCGCCGTCTTGCTTGCTGAGTCCCAAGATGACTCGGTAGCGATCCCATCGCGCAATCCAGGGCTGCCAGCCGTCTGGACGGCGGAAGTCGAGATTCTCTGCGAGAGCGACGACAAATGGGTTGAAGGCTGGCGTTGGATCCGTTGCCTTTGGTTGCTGCTCAGACTGGACCATGGCATCAATTTGAATGAATGGAGAACTGTAGCTATTAAATTGCTACACTAGGACCGCTGCCACCCTGTCGTGGTCAATATAAGATTGATTGAACTGCGTAGGTTTAATCTAGCATAGCAATACAGGTAGGTGTGAGCCGTGCCGTGTCTGGTCGCGATGTGGTGGAGAGAGGGTCCGCGCGCGGAAGCGGCGGGCAGAGTCGAGGGTCACCCGGCGGCGGTGGCGATGACCATGGTCTCCCGAGCCCTTCCCTGAGGGTCCTCATGCGCAAGTCGCTCAAGCCTGCAAGGACCTGATGATCTTTTTAGTAGTAGCTGGACTCAGAACGCGTGTGAACAATTACCTAGTGACGAGCACAACATTGTTCATTCCTCACTCCCTACTTCGTTTTTTAGCAAACCCAATTAATTTTTACATGTACCATCTGCCCCTTTAACCGTCATCGGTTCTCCCATCTCCGAAAACCGTGTAGCCAATCGCCCCCTAGAGGAGGCCCACATCTCTCCCGGCATCCCCCTTTCTCTGTACCTCAACACTTCAACTCCACTCATTTATGCATTAACGCACAAGAGAAACTTAATCAAGTCGTTCACGTCGTTTGCATTTTCTGCCTTGCATAGTGAAACGACGCACCCTTGTGGTGAGAGCTGGCAACCGGCGATTGGACAGGCATTATATGGTGCGACGATCTATCTCTTCCAAAGGCCCGAGAATCGGCCAGGCGAACAGAAAACGTCTGTAAGAAGCTGGCCAATTACACACCGAACAACCCTGGGCGTGTTGGGCCCCTTGGGGTGAATCAGAGTAGCGATGTGGGCGAGTTGGTTCATGCTTAGAAATCGTGGAAACAGCGCGCAAACGACAAGGACGGGAGGAAAAGGAGTACACAGGACGAGCGCTGAACGCTCGTCCTGTGTACTCCTTTTCCTCCCGTCCTTGTCGTTTGCGCGCTGTTTCCATTATTCCCTTGGGGTGGTGGGATTTACTAACAACCGATGTGAGGTATCTAACGACCGATCAATTAACAGAGCACATTGGCCGCATGGGCTTCGAGCATATGGGCGCATTTGATGCTCTTAAAACACAAACACATTAAGATGCTTCTACGTGGAACGGAACCTACTGCCACTTGCCGGCAATATCCTTGTCTGGGAACGCTATCAGCTGGTGGTAGGAGCTAATAAGATATTTTTGTTCTACGTGTGACTAAAGCCTGCGGTTTTGTCGTTCATCCAACATCCAGAACACAGGACGCTGAACACCAGATGCTTGGTTAAATGTAACCTTAAAATTCACGGTAATATTAGTCGGCTTAGGTACGTACGTTTCCTCTCATTCAACCTATTTTTTTCCACCTTTGCGACTTAGGGACGAGGCCACGATGAGCAAAGATGGGCGGATCACCATCCGGGGCCGCATCAAGGATCTGATTATTCGAGGAGGAGAGAACATCTACCCGCCGGAGATCGAGAGTCTTCTCTACACACATTCAGATGTGCTGGAGGTGCAGGTGTGTTACTCTACTTAAGCTAGCCCGCTGACTGACGGGAGGCCATAGATTCTTTTTATTTAGTCAAAGCTTCTTGGCTGTAGACGCGTTTACGCGACAAATTTGCACCTCCCTAAAGGGACTTGTGCTGCCTCGCTGTCTCGTTGACAAATATTTGAATTGGAGTTCGTGGGCAATGAGTGCCGACAAGATGGAAGCTTGGAGTCATCGGATCACGTGCTCAAGCACGGCACAACCACGGGATTAGTCATTTCGCGCGTTCGAGTTGAGAATTGAAGCTGAGGAAGAAGCTGAAATTCATTTCATCGTCCTTTTAATACCCTAGATACACTAGTCCTCTCAACTATCATTTAGCCAAAGATCGTTGGCATCTCCCAACTCGTTGAGCTCAACTAAGTTTTACGGTGTTACACGGCACATAGGCATAACAACCCCAGATCAGATGCGCATCAAGGGACACAGCTGAAACCGAAACGATACGAATACCTAAGTCACATTACCTTTTTAAAAATTGATGCACACGTTTTATTTAAAATCAACCTTTAGATCAATATATCAATAACTTCTTATTTGTTTTTAGAGCAAAGAAACTATAATCAGACGTTTCGCAGGAATTATTTTAAATGTGAAAGCATTTCTTTCGGCACCACGAGGTCGGCAGGCCCTTGGAATGTGGCTGCGCCAGTTCGCGTGTTAAGTGAGCAATTTATCCAGTGAAGTATAATTTCTAGCCTTTACTAACACGATTGCAAGTCGATGTAGGGTTATAAATTTTTAGCTAAGCGTGCAATCCCCACAGCCCTAAACACCCGTGTTAATGAATTTGTAAATCAAGTAAAAACGCGCCATATGCACGAACGCTGAGGCTATGTTCCAAACCTTACCCGAGGAACCTGTTTCCCACGTCAGCGGGTCATACCACGTGATATCGCGAATAAACGATCGGTAACTCGATTTTGGAACGGCCGGGATAATCACCTGGGTACTACGCGAATTGGCATTGTCTTGGGCTACGGAAAAAGAACAAAAAAACACAGCAGCCATTGCTGAAAATAGCAGACGATATGTTTGGATCATAGAGAAAGAACTCGAAAAGACGATAATATTAATGACGACGCAGTGTTTTCTGAGGTCGAGCTTCTTTTGCTAACCTTAATTGTTGGTTGTATATTGAGATCAAAATTACTTACTCCTTTCAGTTAGACATTAAAAAAAATGTTTTTATTAATCGGCGCGATCGCTGGAAATCTAGTCCAGGTGCCTTAAACGCATATGTTAAACGCCTCGTAATAGACTACTTCCATAAAGCCCTGCATGCAACACGGCGCGCGTTGCACTCTGGGAACTAGTTGGCCAGGGAGGAGTGTGGCATGGTTTCGGTTTCGATCGACACGTCGACAAGAGAGTATACAGAGATTGTGGAATATTAACGTTATCTCATGTGTTCTGGTCCCGAGAGCGTCATTTGTGGTCTCTAAACTGACCCAAATGGCAAGACCTCGAAGCTTTAGCACAAGCCTAAGACGTATAGCTTGTCTTAACACATGCTTGTTGTATTTTTGTACTTGAACCTTTCTGTCAGCGTTTCGAGGTATGTGGACGAGCCAGTGCTGGGAATTAGGTAGAGAGCATTTCGGGAACCTTTTCAATAATTTTATTTGACATAAACTAAAAGTGTTTTGTGGTAGTTGAAGAAGAATGCGAGAGTCGCGCGCCCAAGTTGTTTACGAATCAATAAGCTGTAGCAACCAATAAGTATGCATACATCGAGCTCGCGCCTTCACATTAGTGTTGTTGATCGGGAAATTTGTTTGTTTCGTGCGTCCCTAGACAAAATATTACTTTTTGCGATTATAGTTTTTCTTAATACGCCTGAGTACGCGAGGAAAAACTCGGAGGCGCCATTGAAAAGCTCAATTTTAACACACTTCTTATCTCTTATCTGTACTGTCCCGCAGCCCTGCACGAAGTGAAGTCCCCACCCGCTTGCATTCCACTAACATTCAACATCGGGTATGCGCATAAAGTTATCCTGCACCATTCACATATACAAACCGTTTTAAGAGAGCAAAAGTCGAGCATCTGTGTGAAGAATGTCGCACAGTTCGCCGGAAGTGCGGCGGACGGGCATGAACCCCTATCGGTGCGCCAAACGGACAAAATTGTTCAAAGCGCAAAAAGGCTTAGCGTGGAATAGGGGACGCTTGTTAGGGACTCCGTTGCAGCTAGCCTATCTCAGCGTTTGGGAAAACTTAATCTTTTACCAGCATAAAATCTTTCATCAGCCCCCCCCCCCCCCCCCCCCCCGTGCCCGGGCCATGATCCTTAGCGAGACGCTGTTTACGTGCTACGTAACGAGCTTCTTGTAGTGGCATGTAAACAAAATAACGCCCTTTTGCCTTCATTGACAAAATACATGGGAAATTGAATTCCAGCGTGCCTTTCGTTAGCTTCAATCTCCAGTTCTGGCTAGAAGTTAAAGCCCCCCCCCCCCCCCTTGACGCAGAAAACTTCTCAGCCTGCTCCCCCCCCCCCCCCCCCCCCCCCACACACACACACCCGGAAAATGGAAAGACTACGGCGCTGGTGGGAGATATATGATGACACGAAGAAGACATCATAGCAACTTTTGTGCGGTAGTGAGGTCGAATTTATTGCGTTTCCTTAGAAGCTCATGCGTCAACGCTGGACTCAACATTGATACTCCTGTGAGGATGCGGCTTGCTTTTCGCCTGATGAAGTAACAAGCAGCGGACGTTTGGCAAACAAAATACTTGTAAGGCTCAAGGTCACCGAATTTTAGTCGTAGTTCACTGGTACTAGACGGGATTATTAAAATTGAACTCAAAGATGCACTCGTGGGGTGAGGTGACTAAGCCACGCCTTACTACATTTGCATAGGCACTCATAATAACCGGTGTTTCAAGAACCAAGGAAAGTGCCCCGGTCTTCGTTTTGTGTCGCTCGAGAATGAGTGTATTGTACGTTCGTAAGCAGTCAGATAATCGAAAACGCAAGCAGCTCGTTCGGTTGCGGCGTGTTAGCATGACTGCTTGATCGAAACCGAAACTGAGTGGCCAACTAGTTCCCAAAGTGCACTGCGCGATATTTCGCCGCAATGGGGCGGGTCGGTTTTGGAAGAAGTCCATTTGCACCGATTAGGTTTTGCAGAAACTGCTTCTACACGGTGTAGCGGTGCAACTCAGGGGGCTTTCTCAACAGAGATATGTAACGTACGTTCGCTTGGACGCGAATATGATTACAAAATGAAGAAGAAAACTTCCAAACCGCTATAAGCAATTTCTTGGGGAGGGGTTGTTGACTGTTCATATACACGAAATCTTCGAAGCCTTCACCGCTTCACAAGTGTTATCCTCTTATTACACACACTCTGGGGGAACCAAAAAATACTTCCATATCATTCAGGCGGTTCGGAGTTTTTCAACTTCGAACGTGAAAATACAGCATTTCCTCCAACGCCGAGGATGCGGAGAAGCTTTTACTCTCGCACTCTGATAATAACAACTGGCATACCTACCCGGGGAAGGTGCACGGTCTGGATGCAATGCAGTCAATTGCTGCGTTGAAAGCAGCAAATCGCAATAACCACACATAAATGGCTGCACCTCAATATTTGTAATTTTCAACGTCCGCCGCCAAAGCCAACGGAGCAAGCGAGCTCTGACGGCTGTCGGCGCAGAAAGCAGACGACAAACAGATCACGGGACGTATTTACTCGATTTGATCCGGCGCTACCCCCCGATCGAGGAGGGTAGCGTGAGTAATGACTCCGCAGTAAACAACCCGCTTTTGGAATGCGAGCTCTTACGTCATCGAGTAAGCGCGAGTAAGTTTCGAAACACCATGGTACGAAACCTTTACTACGGAGTCGGATCGAGTAAATTTTGGAACACAGCCGGAGTGACTGCGCCAACTACGTCATCAAGTTTTCCGAAGAAGAGATTGAAAGAAAACGCTCGTTTTTCTCCTTGAAATTACACCGCAATTAACAAAGGAGTTTCTTGGTCATTGACATTGCGTGCGAGTGTACTTGGGTCCCCCCATAATGCCAGTAAGCTCGTGTAAAGTGAAAAACATTCCGGGGGAATATTGTTGCACGACCCTGCCAGATTCGAATATATCCGTACGAGTTATAGTCACTGCCAGAATGAAAAAGGCAGGGCGTGTCCTTCGAACGCCCGGCCTCCATCACGCGCTCTGTGCCTTCCGCCGTGCTTTGGTTACGTCAGGGTACTGGAGGTGCACGATATGCCAAAGCATTGTCGAAGTTGGGAAGCTCGCGCTGGAGGCGGGACAAGGGAAGCTCCTCTCTGCCGTTCTCGCTTTGGCAGTGCCTGTTGAACAACGCAGATGGCCTGATGAGTTCGAGCTGAATCCACAGGTCGGATGTAGAGTTCATACGGGATACGAACTTATTGTCCGTCTCTGGTCTCGACCACGCAGGTTGTGGGAGTCCCAGACTCGAGACTGGGAGAGGAGATCTGCGCCTGGATTATACTAAAACCTGGGAAATCTCTAAGCGAGGAAGACGTCAAAGGCTTCTGCAAGGGCAAGGTATGCGATATAATCAAGTTACTCGAATAATGAGCATCTGTTGTTTTCGGCTTGCTTTGGAACTTTAATTCGGAAGCCAGACGGTCGAGCGGTGATAGTCGTGTTTTAGGCTAATATAAGCATATTTTAGTGACTTTACCCAAGACTGTTTTTTTTTTACGAGACCGGAGTCTCGGGTAACGTCATCTTGCTGAACCTTCACCAACTTGCTTGCACCCTGATTTTTTATTTTTTTTTGCAAGCATACATTTTATTTTTTATAGTCAACTGGTAACAAACCGGAACAATTACATTCACCCGACAATTCCCATTCGGCTTCGGGTTCTTCACTTCAGCGTGGCCTGCAGATGTCCCAGTTTCACAACCAACGGAATCGGTATCCAAGCGAGACAATGGGCCAGTATATAGCTTCTCCATTAGTGAACACCTTTCCTGCAGCCTTCTATTTTTGTTATCATGCAGACTTCTGCGCTTTCTTTTCTCTATCACGCACCTGTCGCTAAACGTTCCCTCTCAATTTCTTTTAAGGCTGGTTCAAACTCGTGCGATTAGCTACGACCGTGTGTCTCCGGCGTCAATTTTAACGTTTTCCACTAGACATACTTTCTAAGAGATCACAAGGAACTCAGCATAGGACAGTACATGAATTTCGCGAAAAACCTTTTTATATAATTTTAATTATAGAATTATGATATGACCGAAACCGAAACTAACCTGCTAGTTTAGTTGTTCGTCGTCTTGTTGTGCCGTCAGATGTTGCATAAACATCAGCACATGGGCAGGTTGAGTCTGTTTCGCCCAGCTCCAGAAGCAATTAGAAGGCCCTCGCGATCGTCAGTGGGAAATAATAGACTACTGTTCATCAGTCTCGTCTGAGTCATGCAACGACCAGCAAACACTTCAAGATTTTCACCACGAGATTGCAGACGATTCGCTGTTCGCAATCGATCCGCCTGCATCGCTTCCAAGCGGACAACACGTGGCGGCTGCATTCGCGTTCCGCCGACATATGGACTTAGATATGCCGCCTCAGAATCAGAATGCCATGGAAGGTTTTGTTTGCTAGCACGACGCAAACGCTATTGGCGGTGAGATGTTTTGGTGGCGCCCCCCTACGTTTCCTTCTCGTCTCGTTACGTTACCTTGTGAACAAGTTCGATGGTGCTTCTAATTAGCATGGTGGAAGCCTGAAATCATCGCGGTCTTAAACACCGGCATAATTGAACTTCTTCCATCACTTTTATTTCCGTCGATGAGAAATCCTTTTCTGACGTCATAGTCAGCCTTTGGCCAATGGAGGCAGGCCGACCACGACGACGCTTTAAATTGCGCACGTCACCAATAGAGCCAGCGTTGTCGTCGATTGCTCGGATCCCCTTCTGTCGCAGAAGCTTCTCAGTCAAAATCAGCTAGATGTCACCCCGCTGCATTTCCTCGTGGTGTTATTGCACCCCACAGCAGATCACCAATTTCTCCACCCTCCATTGCCTGCCTCAAATAGTCTAAACCAGGCACAGTTCGCAAAACCACGAATGTTCATTACCTACTACAAAGCACAACGTCGTGAAGGAGGGAGCGTCGTCTGGTCTCAAATAAAACTATTGACGTCACGAGCGCCCCTGGTCGTTGTTGGCAGTGGAGCCAGTTGCCAGTGATACGGAAGTGTGCGCGTAAACTTCAAGATTGATTTTCTCGGAAGAAATTATTATTTTGGTCAGGCATTTCGTAGGTATACTCAGGTGCTGATATTTAATCCACTGAGAAAATTTTATAACAATTTATTACCATTCATATTTCGCCATAGATCTCTTGGAATCTTTTATGGCGAGAGGAGGCGAAACTTGCAGTTTCGTTTATATATTTTTCCTTGCTTCAATTTTTTTTTTAGCGCTTGAAGAACGTTATAAACGAACATTTCTTATAGACAGTATGCACATTTGTTCACGCAAATACTTCAAATCCTTCGCTCTACTCACATGCTGTTCCAGGGTCACCTCATAGATGGCACCAGCGTGCCAGTGTGTTTTCGGTCATATGCAAGTGTGTGAACGGGTTTTTACCAATTCCTAGCGCCACAGACGAAAGGGCCACTGACTGGATGCGAAGGGTGGTGAGGGGTTTCAACTGTCCCGCCATGAGCGCAAGCTTCGTACCTTCAGCAGTGCTTCGGCGTTTCGCGAGTGCTCACGTGCTTCCAAAGCACGTCGGCAGGCGACGAGCGAGTGTTCGAGGTCGGACCTCCCAATGAGACACCCTATCCTGTCGGCGACTAGTGTGAAAATTATAGACATTCCCACCTAGTGACACAAGAGAATACTCTGCACTATTACTTATTAGGTCTAAATACTTTAGACCTAATAAGTTCTAAAGTATTTAGACCTTATTAGAAGAAATTATTATTTGGTAAATATGGTGACAAAACGTGTTCATTGCAATCTGGTTCGTATAGCGTACATTTTATTTTGGCATAACATCACGTTTAACAAACTTGTTTTCTTTTCTCTCAGATCAGCTATTTCAAGATTCCGAGATACGTGCTCTTTGCGGAATCTTTCCCGAAGACGGTGTCCGGAAAGATACAGAAGCACAAGTTGCGGGATGAAAGCAAGAAGGTTTTGAATCTCTAAAGAAGGAATATAATTCATATTCCTTCGTATATTATTAAACATATTAAAAAAAAGAAGGCCTTGTATTCTGTCGCTGATGGCTAACACATAAGTAAATGGTGCTTTTACAATTTGAACCCTTCTTAGGTTCATATGAAAACTCGACGAAATGGAGCGTGCTGGTAAGCTACAGAAATAAAACGAAATCAACAACGAACAGAAAAAGACGACGTTTTGTCTTGTCTTTGTCCATTGTGTTTTTTCTAGTCAATCATGATCCTCACATTTGCCCAATATATGTGCTACGGTGGCAGTGGGACACGCGGTGGCCATAGAATAATCTACCGAGCGTTAAACTGAGTGCAGGCAATATACAGAGTGCCTTCATACTCGCGCGTTTTCCCTTGAGTAGTGGCATCTTGGCCATTTTTCCACCCAAACGTTTTTTTAGCTCTTGAAGTGCGCGCAATACGGTGATCCAGCTCCGGGGCGTAACCTCGGCCCTCGACTGACGCTTTAGACGTCAATCGTCAGTCGCGCATTGAGTGCGGCAGCGCGCCACGCCGTGGCCCACTCGTTGCAACAATGAATGTCTTCACCTTGAGACAGACAGACCTGTAAGCAACCTAACCATATGAAAAAGGAGCGCCTATTTATAGTGTATTTGTGATCCATTATGGAGCTTTCGCCTTATTCGAGCATTTTTGTACTGACTGTCTCGCCCGACAGACATTGGTCTCGGCAAAGTGGGAGTCGTATGTCTTAGATATTATCACGCACTGCCAGTCCAGTACAAACCCTTCACGTAGCGCCTTCGATAAATACCGCTCACTTATCTGGATGGCTAAGTTCATTGCTTTAGGGACGAGACCTCCGTACTCGTGGCTGGCAATTATTTTTCCGCAATCTCGCGGCCGTCTTCTTTTTTTTTTTTCGTGGCACCGAGAGCAAAAAGCAATCCATTGAATGTACGAATTAATTCTCCTAATACCCCAAGCAGCACCAGAAAGTGAATTTCGATCGGCCGACGGTTGGCCAGTGTCTGGACAGCTTGGCCACTTTAAGTGCTTGGCCACCGGAGACATAAACAAGGCCGGCAAGAGTCCGGCCACAAACTAGCTGTTTTTAGCTTGTCCGCCGGAGACATAAACACTGCCGGCAAGCGCCTGGCCAGAAGTGATGATTTTCAGCTTGGCCGCCGGAGACATAAACACGGCCGGCAAGTGTTTGGCCAGCAGTGATGATTTTCAGCTTGGCCGCCGGGGACATAAACACGGCCGGCAAGTGTTTGGCCAGTAGTGCTGATTTTAAGCTTGGCCGCCAGAAACATAAACACGGCCGGCGAGTGTTTGGCCAGCAGTGCTGATTTTCAGCTTGGCCGCCGGAGACATAAACACGGCCGGCAAGTGTTTGGCCAGCAGCGATGATTTTCAGCTTGGCCGCCGGAAACATAAACACGGCCGGCAAGTGTTTGGTCAGCAGTGCTGATTTTAAGCTTGGCCGCCGGAAACATAAACACGGCCGGCGAGTGTTTGGCCAGCAGTGCTGATTTTCAGCTTGGCCGCCGGAGACATAAACACGGCCGGCAAGTGTTTGGCCAGCAGCGATGATTTTCAGCTTGGCCGCCGGAGACATAAACACGGCCGGCAAGTGTTCGGCCAGTAGTGCTGTTTTTAAGCTTGGCCGCCGGAAACATAAACATGGCCGGCAAGTGTTCGGCCAGAAGTGCTGATTTTCAACTTGGCCGCCGGGGACATAAACACGGCCAGCAAGTGTTCGGCCAAAAGTGCTGATTTTCAGTTTCGCCGCAGGGACACCCATAATCTAAACTTTTATCCCGTTGACGAAACTTTGGCATAACGACGGGCAGCGAGAGAAGCATCATGAGCGAGTGGTTGGCAGGATATTAGTGCGTGCATCGCGCGAACACTGTTAGCGCAAGCAAACGATCATCGTTTTATTCAGTTTTTTTTTCGTTAGACTTGAAAGGCTATTGTCTTAACTAGCACTGTCGTGTGATATGTTCATTTAGAACATTACCATAAGTGGGCAAATATTGTGCCCGTCGTTGTTCTATGAAAATAAAATACGAAAACAGCGCCCACGTCAACTTCGCGCTAACAATACCTCTCTGTCGCTGCGCGCACTCTTACGCGAACACCCCATCCGCGATTTTTCGGTTAATGCTCCACATATTTACTTCCCAACTGCACTCGAAGAAAAAAAAGTTGTAGTCGGGTGCATCGGGCGCACATGCTCCCCTTTCCTGGAAGACGCACCCTCCGTCACCCAGCCAGTGTACTTGTACACCGACCATAAGCCCCCTTCTCTACCTTAAAACCCTATAGGTGTATCAATGCACTCAGCTTAGTAAACCGCCACGCTAGCCACGCTTCCCGATCAGCTTGTGCTTGAATCGGATAAGATTGGATATTTCAGGCTTTGTGTTTTGGAAGAGCCTAAACAAGACGTCTATCATATATTGATTAAACTTAAACTAGGCTCAATAATGTTTTATATAGGTGCTAGGATACTGATTTCCTGAGCCAACGAAAGCTAACGGCTTCGGTTAAAACCGCAACGGAAACGTTCAAAATCGAACCACACGTAAAAGAAAAAGAAAATGAACATCTCGACCTAGATGTGCAGAACGCTGGTTTTGTTGTTAACAACGTGGTTGTTGGCGGGTGGTGGGCAACGCCGTGACGCTATCGACTATTGACGCTATCGTTGTGATTGAAGCCAGTGATGCTCGGCCGTACTACACAGTAAAAGTTTTGACACCTTTAAGGGTGTAAAATGGGTGTTGTAGCAACTTACGCCCTCTGCTACACCCTTTGAACACCCTAAAAACTAGGATTACAACCTCATAATTTTACCGAAAAGGGTGCTGTTTCGTGTTACTCCCTACACATAGTGAAGAATGTGGGAAGGGTGAAAAAGAGGGTGCTAAATAAATAATGTGAAATGGTTTTGGAAAGCTTATATATGGCTCTGTCCATAATGTACAGGTAAATTTCTGCTTGAAAGCAACAGTTGTTGGCAGCCTAGCTTTTTTTTATAATGTCAGTTGTAATTCATGCAAATAGCTGATAATAAAGTGCTCTTTTGCATACAATTTCTATGTTTGAAAACAAAATTTTATATATGAGTTCATATTTCATTTTCTTACAAATCACTCCATGCTCAGAAATTGGAAAGTAGGGTGAAATGGTCTATACTAGCATTTTTTACAAATATTTATTGATGGAAGTGTACAGTAAAAAAATCAGTTAGTCTCGAGTTTATATCTGGCAACATAAAATCAAAATATAGTGAAAATGTTCGACAAATATTAATGACATGCCGCTAGAACCTGTCACTTGACCATGTCAACCTGAGTAAAATATTAATTTGAGAATATGGTGACATGCGCAAAAACTCACACACATAAAGAGGCAAATCCCATAATAAACCAGCCCGGGACATACCATACAAAAATGGCCTATGGTCGTCTATGGAAAATTCAATTGCAGGCTATCACCCCCTGTAGCTTTGCATGGTCGGCCTTAGAAATTTATAGATACAGCTACAGCCAGCTATAGAAAAGTTTAGGGCCCTGTGTCTAAAGACTCAGGGCCATGTTTCAACAACAACAACAACAACAACAATAATAACAATAACAGCAACAACAACAACAACAATAATAATCAATCAATCAATCAATCAATCAATGTTTATTAAAGTGTCCAGGAACAACCAATCGGTCTTAGTGCTGGCACACTAAAAAAAAAATGAGCAAAAACACACACATACAAACACGCATACACACGAGTGCAGAAGGAGAACGTAGTTCTCCAGTCTGAGAATAAAAATATTAACAAGTATGAAAAACACTCAGATTAACAAGGGAAATCAAAAGCACAAAACAGAGACATCACCAGGTGTGAGAGCAAAAAGCAAATACTACATCAGCGCTTCAACTGATCAGCCCTATTCCTGCAAGAGGAAGATTTGAACAGCATTTCCGAACTTGCTCCCGCATGAGTTAAAAATATCAATTGTGTCAGAGTAGCGATTATAACACTCCGCCGATCTTTGGATCGGGTTTAGGTTGCTAAAATGTCGAGCTATATAAAAAGATGATTGGAGCCGTGTAGGCACACGTGGAACTCTGAGGCTCACTTGGGACAGAAGGCTGGGAGAGTTAATCGAGCCGTGCAGGGTCTTAAACAAAAACAACAAATCTGCCTTCACCCGACGCTGCTGGAGGCTCAACAAGTTGACAAGTTGCGAGTTACACACACCGTTCAGACAAGGATCACCATTCTCAAGGTAACGATATTTAAAGATAGAAATAAATTTGTTTTGGACTCGCTCGACAGATGAACTGTTAGTTTTGGAAATGCCGTTCCAAACAACCGAGGCGTACTCTAGCTGGGATCTAACTAAGGAACAATACAGCGTAAAAAAAGCGGACGGGCTTTTGAACTCCTTCGTTATGCGAGACACGGCACCTAACGTGCGCAAGGCCGATTGAACCACTTTGATGACGTGAGTGTCAAATCTCAAGGTTGAATCAAAGACAACTCCAAGGTCCCTCAGTTCACTTACACGTGACAGCAGTTCGCCATGATAACTATAATAATAATAATAATAATAATAATAATAATAATAATAATAATAATAATAATAATTTTATTGGCGATGGGGACAAGATTAAAGAAGTTCAATTAGCGGGACTGGACAAAGCCTGCATGGGCTTATGGGCCCAGACCCAGCATGCTAAGTTGTCTATTAAAATGTTTAGATTATCATTTGCTTGCAATACATGATTGCTTCCACATACGTATCTGCACACACATATACACGCACAAATGTCATTCTTGTTGCAGCGCTAAACCACAGTGAAGCAGTGCCAGGTCGTTGCCTCGGGAGTGATTGCAGTTTGAAGACAGGCCGGGAGACGCCCACACAGACACACGCACACACACACGCACAGGCACAAATGGGCTGATGTAGACCGGAAGAAATGTCGTAGAGTATATAACTCTGCTTGAGCGGGAGCAATCACATTTCCGTAAAATGATATGCA